CAGGTTTCCACCTCAAGAACCTTAAGAAAACCTCCTGACACACCATATAGATGCTGGCCTAGTCCTATAGCACAGTCAATTGTTTTGTCTTCTAGTCTCTTGTGTGTTTTGCTGGTGCTAAGTTACACACATTCAGGGATCTCTCGAGCTCCCACAGACCTGGTTTGAGAATAAAATAGGCAGCAGCATATCCTAAAGCTCAGGGACAAGTGCATGCCCTCAGGGAGGGCTTGCCATAAGTGTAGCTGGGCGGTGTTGGTGGAATTGTGGCCTGGACTAGTGTCCCCAGCAAATGGAGAGATCCTGGGTTATGAGTTAGCAGCAACTCATGCAACAGCTTCCCATAGCCCACGCTTGGGAGGAATAAGCCCCTCCTGGCGCCTGGGAGTGCAACAACCAATTGATTGGGACTTGATGGGGACACAAGGCAGTGGGGGCTGCGCACAGAGGCCGGAGGCTGCCCCTGCCAGGAGGGTCACTCAATCACTTGTCTCTCTTCATCCTCAGAGTCATAGCTAAAAACAGCTGCCTCTTGCAAGACTCCAGAGCTGGGTCGTGCCTGCTGCTGTAGATGATACGCTTCCACTAATAGCTCTTAAAGACATTCCTCAGAGGGTAGGTTGCCATCTATACCCCACCGCAATGTGTTGCCCTGTCAGAGTGGGACAACTGTGTTGTGCCCTAAGATGGCAGACACTATTCTTAACTCAGAAAGATTTGCTCAAGCACAGCTCTGTTTTCCCTCCAAAATGTTAAAATTGAGCAGCAGGCCTGAGTGCGTTCTCACTTGTAAGAGCATAAATCAAGGGTGACTCCTCTGGAGCCACTGGAATGACACTGTGAAAACCCAGCACCATGCCTTCTGGGATGCGGCATGGTCATTAGGAACACAGCAGCTGCTCAGGTACCTGGAGTGGTCAGTTGGGGATTAGTTTCAGATGAGTGGCTGTGTCACTTCTCTTGGACACCAGCATAGGAAAGAAAGGTCCTATGGCCCTGACCATATATCGTTTTTCCTCCCTCACCTCATAAACCCCATCCATTCTGTTTCAGAAGCAGGACAGGACTGAGGGGGCTGCTCCAAGCTTCTTCCAGCCCAGCTTAACAGAAGCGACAGCAGTGCTGCAGAGAGCCGTGTCCCTGTGCTCAGGCTGTGTCTTCCCAGCACCCACTGAAGGAAGGAAATAGGGGTGTACACCAGAGATCCCTTCTGGGCCAGGGGAACTAGGAGAGCCACGTGACCACCTCTGGCCCAGGCAGTGGCTACCACATGGTGCTTAGTCCCGCTCAACCCGCAGCCCGGCTCTAGTAGCCCTTCCTACAGCTCGGTAAAACAGGTCTCCCTGCTTGCTACTATGGACTATCAGGCAGAGAGGAGCCAAAGCCCGCGGACACCAGCAGGGAGGGTGGCCACCCCGTTGCCACTTGCACGGCTGCTCTGCAGACCCAGGATCAGCAGCTTCCTCCTCCCGGGGCACCCTGGGCTCCCGAGGTCTCCTGCCTGTCAGGGGGCCCGGCCAGGCTCCGCCTGTCGCTCTCCATCACGCAGGGGACAAATTGCCAGGAGGTGGCAGCAGGGAGCCACAGAGGTGCCCCCTCCCCCGGCCAGCCTGACTGCTGGGGACCTGCAGCTGGGTCCTGAGTGACAGTGGGTGGTTTGAAACCTCTTCTATATTCCTGGCCCAGATGTCATCATAAACGCCATTAAGGAGCACTTTGGCATCCTATTCTGCTGGTTGATAAAACATAAATCAGGGATGTTCAGTGCTGCCGTAGGGACTCGCACAGTACCGCTGCTTTGGGAGGGGCCTGTTTCACTGAGTAATGGAATCACCTGCTCCAGTTCCCTTGGGAGGCCATTACATGGAAGACTTTGTGAAGGGCCTCAGTCCTGGGGGTTATGTCAAAGCTTGAGATCAACACACTTTGGCAGGAACTCAGGGATCAGAATTAAAAGGAGCTTTGGAAGGATGGAGAAACTTTCTTAAATTTTGACAATATATCTTAAAATCATAAATATATCACAAATTATTAGTGTATCATATATATGATCTGGCTTACTTGAGAATTGTGATAGGATTTTAATGTGTCATTGTTCTTGCAAGATCAACTTCAACTATAAATGCTGGAATTTTCCATCTAACTAAACATCTCAATCAAGGTGAGCTGTTCCTAAAGGCATTTTTAGAATGATTAGTCCTAAATATTGCCCTATGCTTGATTAACTATACTGGAAAACTGAAGACTCCTTTGATATATTATTAGGACTTAAGTTGAATACCAGTAAGAAAGAAAAGTTTTATATTTCTTGACGGTGTTGTTTTGTGCTGTACATGGATGTAAGAAGTTAATTACACTAACAGTATTTTTAGAGTCAGACTGCCTGTCACCCGCTAAGCGCTACTGCAAAAGTCCTAAGAAAACCATCAGTTCCTATTAGCTGTAAAGAAAGATCTCAGAAAATAGATGCAGCTAATTTTTTCAAATTGAACTTCTGTTCTATATGGACTGAACTCAAAAACATCCTGAGCCCAAAAGCATCATTTCAGTAATAGCAGTGCAAGTGTTTGAAAACATTTCTCTTCAGATACTCTTTGTCAGTAAAGCCAAATTCAGTTGTTACTTTTTCAGAAATTGATGAATCTCTCTGCTAGAACCCCAGAAACACTGCCAGCTCCACAAGTGGAGATGAGTTCCCCATCACTGAGCCTTGCTGTTAGGGTTTCATGTCAGTGCCCTTACACCTTCTGGGGAGCAGGCACCACCATGCCAGCAGCACTCCTGAAGTCAGGACACTACTGTGGTAGAAATTATGATTCAGTACACATGGAGGCTCGGGAAGTGGGGTACGAAGAGACAAATGTGTGAGGCAGAGATTAGTTCAGGTTCATGAGATGGATCTCCTTGGTGATCCAATGAAGCATTCTGCTCCAGGAAGATATAGGCCTACTGTAGAAACTTCTCATGGAGCTGAAGACACTGATTTGGAAGGAAAGTAACATACACCTGTGTTTCCTGACAAAGTAGTGAGTGAGCAAAGTTAACAGTGCACCTAGAGCTACAAAGGTTGTGGAATACATTTTCCCAAACTACAGCTCTTACTGAGATCTATGTCCCCTTTTATGTAAAGCTAAACTCATACCGTGCCAAGTGCTTTGCAGCAATCTCTGCCTGGTAGCTTTTAGCCTGGTAGCGTAGCAAGT